GGGGGGGGAGTAGTAAATAATCTAAAATAATAAAAATTATGAATTCCACACACTGGTATAGCTTGCAAATTGAATACGTTTTGGGCATGTGACCTTCATCAGGTGAACAAGACTAAAATGTATTAAATTTTGCAAGCTATAGCAGCCTGCAGGAGTTTTTATTTTATTTTTTATTAATATAATTAATTGTTTCAGAGTTAGAATCTGCATCAGGCATTTGGCAAAAAATCTCTGTCATGGAGCCAAAATGTTGAATGAATGTATAACTAAGATAATTGTGGCAATAGGTAACACTATGGCCTTATAAAGATAGACCGATAGCTGGCCATTCAATATCTACTAACTGGTGGAATTTTTGGGTGGAGTATCACCCAGAACACCATTGCCACTGTGTGTTCAACATAAAACAATGGTGTTCGTAAGCAAACTTACATATGATTATAACATCTTTTGAATAATTACACAACTTTTACAGCCAGTCATTCGCAAGCGACAAGCATGTAGAATTTTAAGATAATAATAATTGTAAAAATAACTTTTGGCTGGAGTGCAACGACTTAATGGCAATAATAACAGTAATAATACTTTTAATAATTCAATATATATTAAATATTACATATAATGTCAGATTACGATATTCAATTCAAAACATTCTCTTGCGTTTGTTTGTCTTGCCAAGAAGGGAAAAAATAGGCTATAGCATATAAAAAGTCGATTCTGCACATCGGTTATTGCACATTTAAACAAAAAGAAATTGTATGGGTGATGACCCATATTTACCCATCTTATTTATACATCAAACATTCAAGGACTAACGTTACATACACAAAACAAGATTAAATACCTACAAAGACATAACACTACCCTAGTCTAAATATAATAATTAGTTAACGTTACCAGTTATTTTTTAAATACGATAGACAGGTTAGTTCAGGTAAACATAAGAAATCATGACATTTACCCTCTTTAGTCGTCGGGTTGTCTTGCTCTCTGTAGATCTGTCGCACCATCTCGGCAGTTTCCTCATTGCTGTGGCTGTTGATGTCCCACAGCACCAGTGTAGCCCGGCGCCGGGCGAACTCCTTGGCGAAGAGCCGCCCGAGTCCGCCGCCCGCCCCGGTGATCACGCACACCTGTCCCGCTACGCTCTTCTCCTTCGGCCGTATGAGCCACTTGAGTCCGGCCATCACGATGGCCCAGAGAACTTTGAGCATGACCACGAAAAACTCCACGACAATGTTCATTATCATGTCTAATGCCGCGCTGTGACTTGGTTTTAAATAACGATGAACGTCTCACAATGTCCCGTTACACCTAAATGACTAAACCTGAGTTTTGCTGTTGTGCTGCTAACATCAGCATATAATGTATTCTATTATAACTATCCGCTTATTCAAGGTTATGGGGTGAACATCCAATTAACCCCAACTGTCATACAACTACTAATATAACTTACATATATAAAATCGTCTAAACCAGTCAACAAGATAACGCATTCAGAATAGGAGCATCACAAATAAAAGCACTAATATAACGCTACAATTGGCGTGAAATACAGCCGAATCTCCCCGCCTGCGAATGCCCGTATGAAACCTATTGTATCCCGGCACGGATGCGCTCGATAGCTGCCGGTGCGCCGCTGCTGCTCTGGGAGCCAGACCTCTTCAGAGCCACCGCTGTTGCTCGGGCTCTATTTAAACCAGCCCCTCTCCACAGGACTCCACAGAGTGATTGGCCGAGATGCCTGATTGAAAGTTACATCTACTTAGCTCAGCTGTGGACGTTTGGGAAGACAGAGTGGATGTGTAATAACACTGTCTGACTAATTGTATGTGGTTGTATTTTTTAATGCAACGAATTTTATATCAATGCATATAATATGGAATTTTGTAGGATTTGTGCTTTGCTTGGAGCAAGTAACATTTCCAACAATAGGCCTACAGCAAAAGCAGTTTTTGTGATAACAATGCCTTGTTATACAAGCCCAAAAAGATCATTGTAGTGGTAAAAATAGCAATGAATGAAAGAAAAGTGCATCTGAAAATGAAACATTTTAAACCTCTTCATTAATTAATTCAGAAAAATACACTGTAAATCCTTTGCGCATTACATTTTGTATATCATTTATATGGACACCAGCTGAAGTATAAACAAACTGAATCCTAAAACCATAAAACTGTGAAGGCTTTGCATGGTTGTTCCCATGCAATACAAATAAAGTCTGAGAAAGAACACAATTATTTGCCAGAACACTGTTACCAGATGGCAAAGGAGAAAACAGTTAGTCTTTAAGAATGGATCTGCGTTTTCTGAGACATCCTTCTCAAGAGATGCTGGATAGCTCGTAGCTAGTAATGAACTGTCTTCACTGCCCTCTGCAGTTCTTTGTGTTCAGATACAGATCAGTTTCTGAAGCATCTGCGGCCAGCAGGAATACTCTCAATGGTACATCTGTAGAAGTTTGTCTAAATCAGTCCTTCCTTAGTCTGACATGTTGGGCATAGTGGTGATGGTGGCTAACCCTCTCAATAGCAGATCTATTGATGTGACTGGATGTGCGATCGCTGTAATGGCTCCTGTAGTTCACAATCTTCTCCCTGGCCTTGTTCGAGGAGAAGTCATTGTCCTGGCACCAAACTGCTTCAGCCGCCCTAGTAAAACTTTTAAACCTCATTCCACATTTACCAAAAACTGCCGGAAAGTGACCAAATGCAAAGAGTTGCTGGGAGAGGATTCATCTGACAGCAGTCTAAGTAGTTTGTGAGGGCTTCTAGTGACTTTTTACATAAACTAATCATTGAATCTATGACATGAATAAATGATGCATCCAACCTATCCACTTGCTCACATTATAAACAGGGTTTAACCAATGAACATAGTATTCCATAGAAACCAGCTGATCATAGTCAATAGAGCATTTGCGCTTCGGTGTCTCAAAATACGTCATATTACTTTACTTTACTTTACTTTACTTTTAGTCATTTAGCAGACGCTTTTATCCAAAGCGACTGACAAATACAAAAAAGTCATTAAAACTAAAAGCTAAAACTCTATAAACACTATATATATACACATTTAAGAAAATCAAATAAATTAAATAGAAATGACAAATGCATACAACATTTCAAAACTAAACATTTAAATGAAAACAAAAAAATAAAGCTAAAAACAATTCAAAATATTAAAAGAACAAAAGGTATGAGTATAAGAATGATTCTAACATAACACTAAGACAAACACCAAAAACAACTACATATGTGTATGTACAGCCACACACATATACATATACATATAAATACATTCAATATATATATATATATATATATATATTCAACTGTAACTAAAATAGATAACTAATACAAATCAAACTACATTAGTTTATCAGTAATTATTATAATATATAATAATAATAATTTTATAAAAATAAAATAATATCTAATTATAATATTAGTGATTGAATGTGTTACTGGACGCCTCAGTACTTCACTGGTTGTGTTGTCCATAATTGAACAGATTACTGAAAATATGATTAGCTAATTTAACCTTTTATGCACGTCTTAATTAATAATTAATGGCATTCAGTCATCCTTAATTCTGATCATATTGAAGGTTTAGTTTGTTAATAGCTAATGTTTTTAATATCTGTTCAGCCGCACGTTATATGAATAAATCATGAAACAAACAAGGCATATCTGCTTTCCTACTATATTTTGGACGGGACAGTGTCATGTATACAAAAAAAAAAAATTAATAAAAAATAAAAATAAATAAATGCCTTTACAAGGTCGCCACCTCTTGGACTGACACTGTAATTACATATTGTTTTTTGGTAACTCGATTCTGGTGTGTTTAAAAATTCGTAACATTAGTTTTATGCAGTACAGTAAACAAATAAGTAAATAAAATAAAAGATACATACAATTCACTAATCTAGGCACATTTTCTGTGAAAAAAACTAATTCTAATTCAAAACCAACGAACTGCGTGTGGTTATGTTATAAATATACACGTATACGTTTACGTTTGTATGAGTAAAATCTAATAAAATTTTGCGTTGATCTGTCCACTTATCTATGTAATGATGACTCTATTACTAATTATCTAAACTCCTGTCGCTAAACTGTTGTGTCACGTGGTTTTGGCAGTAACTATGGAAACGTCCACGCAATGGACTATCAGCTTCCGTTTTTGACTTTTATTCACCGCCGTATATAGGAGTGAAACAATGGCCTCAGCTTCTAGTCTTAAGCTTCTTAAACGGATTATAATGACATTCTAGTTTGTCTGACATCTGAAAGTGGAGATGAAGCCTCATACCTGCGTCGTCAGACCTAAGCTGATGTTACTGTCAACTGAGGCTCCTCTCTTAATACAGGACATTACAGACGCGCGACCCACTCGTGCTTCCAGCGACATCTCCAGTCCTCCAGTGTCTGCATGTTCCACGGCCGCTGAATCCAGCCTCAATGTTTTCTCAGCGACACAGAAATGCCCATGCAGTCCGAGCGGTGAGTATTCATATTTAAGTGTCTCTCCAGCAAAATACAAGATTCCACTGGATGCATTTATCTGTATGTAAAGTCCTAAAGAGTTTCCAGATAATGAACCGTATCACATGTTTTATTAGCATGTACATTTAATGTTTAATATGAAATTGTAGATTCCAGGGATCTAAAGCCTCACAGTGTCAGCTCTATTACTAAAGGGTGAGTATACTAACAAAGTAATGTTTTTTAAAGACATGCTGACATTGTGTGTGTGTGTGTGTGAGTGAGTGAGAGAGTGAGTGTGTGTGTGTGTGCGTGTGAGTGTGAGCGTGTGCGTGTGCGTGTGCGTGTGCGTGTGCGTGTGCGTGTGCGTGTGCGTGTGCGTGTGCGTGTGCGTGTGCGTGTGCGTGTGCGTGTGCGTGTGCGTGTGCGTGTGCGTGTGCGTGTGCGTGTGCGTGTGCGTGTGCGTGTGCGTGTGCGTGTGCGTGTGCGTGTGCGTGTGCGTGTGCGTGTGCGTGTGCGTGTGCGTGTGCGTGTGCGTGTGCGTGTGCGTGTGCGTGTGCGTGTGCGTGTGCGTGTGCGTGTGCGTGTGCGTGTGCGTGTGCGTGTGCGTGTGCGTGTGCGTGTGCGTGTGCGTGTGCGTGTGCGTGTGCGTGTGCGTGTGCGTGTGCGTGTGCGTGTGCGTGTGCGTGTGCGTGTGCGTGTGCGTGTGTGTGTGTGTGAGTGTGTGTGTGAGTGAGTGTGTGAGTGTGTGTGTGAGTGTGTGCGTGTGAGTGTGAGCGTGTGCGTGTGCGTGTGAGTGTGCGTGTGCGTGTGCGTGAGTGAGTGTGTGAGTGTGAGTGTGCGTGTGCGTGTGCGTGTGCGTGAGCGTGAGCGTGAGCGTGTGCGTGTGAGAGTGAGTGTGTGTGTGTGTGTGTGTGTGTGTGTGTGTGTGTGAGTGGTTGTTTTCTTTGGTTTCATCTTTGGTTTCTTATATCTATATAGAAACTTCCACAGCAATCTATACAAAGACTGAATAAGTCACTAAAGTTGCCAGGTGTATTTCCTTTTTTTTTTAATTACATTTTCTTGAAACACAAGACTGACACATGTACATACCGTGTCTGTAACAATACTTACTATGTACAGAAAAGAAAAGAAAACGAACAAACAAACACTAGGGGCTCATATTACATAAAAAGTGCAAAGCACAAAACCAACAAAGGGTTAATACAGTCTGTACTTTGGAAGTTAGATTTAATAATCCATTGCAAACAATAACAACCGCAGTTGTAAGGGGTTAGTATAATGCACATTAAAATATATTTAAATACCCTGCCAGGTGTATTTCTACACAAACACACTGGCAACATGAATTCAACCACTATATATGACACATTATTCCACATTGTTTGTGTCTTTCCAACTTCACAGGACACTGCTTCCATTTCTAGCCAAAAATAGCTCAAACGTAACCTCACAAAACAATGTGTATGCCAGTGATATTTCTGGCCGGCATTTCTTATTTGATAAACGATGGAAAAATGGAACTTACATCACTATTGGCATTGAAGGTACAGTATTTATCCTTTTTATAATTTTTAGATAGTAATTAATTATGCCTGAGACATTCATTGTATCATTATTAGTACAAAAATGGGGATAAAAGGGCAAAGAACGTATCTTAATAGGCCTGCCATGTGTATTTAGATTATGATACTGTCATCATTATTCGATGTGTAATTGGTAGTTTCAGTGGGGTAGCCAATAGATGGCGCTCACAACATGCATGAATATTTTTGCAGCACATAATTTCAGCATAATCATCATCTCTTTATATCGAAGTAAAATTAGTCACGGAATGCTTTTGCCATTATTTTAGTTTAACGTGGTTAGATGATTCTGTTATTTATAGATGCTTCTATTACTTTCTTTGGAAACATTGTATTAATATGCTTATTTTCCCAAACAGATGATGTTCTGATTAACCACAACCCTACAAATCCACTCTCTCAGGAGTTCCATGTTTATCGCTCTCACAATCTAACCAGATTTGCCCACCGCAAAGAACTCTGCCCGCGCGACCCAAGACCACTTATCTGCGGGCGAGTTCTTCAAGACTGTTGAAATATTGCATTACGATTTTTTTTCATCCAATTGCTGATTTTCTCTAAATCAATTCCAGGTCTGATTATCTGGCTTCATTTCCATCAGTTCTGTTACCAGCCACCACCCCATCTGTCAGTGGACGACTCTGTTTATCACAAAACTGTAAAAACAGGTAACAAATGTATTTATTTATTTGGCTAACATATTGTGTTTATTGCATACTTATTCTACTCTCTCATCTTACTCTCTGCATTTCAGATTAAGGATGAAAAATAGAGCACGCAATCTCTTCTCTGATGGTGCTAACAACAAAAGTGAGCATTTCCGCTTTAAGCTTAAAGCTAATGTTTAAATGCTTATTAGTTAGCATCAATTAACAGATTTATTGTCATTTACCTTGTGATAACTCAATTTATTATTTATGTCAGTTGGCGCTGGTAAATTGAGCACATAGCAATGTGTTATTTAGGTGTTTGCTCTGTGTTTAACAGGTGAGATATTTCACTTCACTCCTGTTACAGATTCAGACCACAGACACTGATGAATTTCACATGTTTTTCATGAGCTCACAAACGTTGAATACACACACTTAACTCACTTAACAGTTAAGTACACACACACACACACACACACACACACACACACACACACACCTCACGTCCCCCCACCAGACTGTAGGCCATTATTGAAATTCCCAGTCTATTGTATGAGGTGAGAAGAGCGTTACCTGTGTAAACCTGAGTAAGCAAACTGCTCTTGTCTAATCAGCCTGTGGGCCGGTAATTGTTTTTCAGCGCAGTCGTACCCTGATCCACACCTGGGCGCCTCGGCCTCTTTTGTTCAGAGGCTCACAGAGATTTCCTCTCTGGAATCAGAAACAATGCGGCAGGAGAGAATGAAAAGACTCAAAAAGATCAATAGGCAGGACTCTTAATCGGAGTTCATTAGCCAAAGAGGAAACACTTGACTCCAGAAATCACAACTGTGCCAAGATGGAGTAAATAAAGTCAAGGAGAAAAACTTGAGAGGTACAGTGTTGTAGCACAACCACTATATTGTAACTGAAATGAAATGAAAACGATGACTGTAGCAACCATTTACATTCCTGATGTAAAACTATCAGGGATTGTTGAATTTAAATTCAAATTTACATGAAAGTGTATCGTGTATTCGCCAAGAATAACTGCCTTAACATTGCCTTAAACTACAGTGATGATGGAATTATAGCACTTATATACGTTTTCTAAGTCGTGTTGCATATATGAAAAAACTTTATGCCTTGTGTACTGCCTTGAGTACTTGATCTAATCCAAAAAAAACATATTTTTGTCAAAGAAACAAATTCTTTCAACAATATCTAAAAGTTAAGAACTGCATTATAAAATAATATAAACTCTCTAAGTGTATAATTTTTTTGATTGATAGATTTGATAGCCTCATATATCAACCAATAGCAATCGCAAACAAATGGCTGCTGTATGTTTTAGCTGATAATAAACTACATTAGAGATACAGCAGTAGTTGAACTCGGGTGGGAGGCTGCATCTTTGTGCAGGTTCTCCTGGAGAGCGTGGGAGAGCTCCATTCTACACCAAAGTGTCTTTTGTCGAAAGGAAAAGGGCCAGGTTGATTTGGTTCAAGACTAGGTTGGCACATTCTGGTCAGAGAGAAGAGAGATAATGTATTTTTGGCTTCAAGACTTCATTACAGGAACCACCTGCAATGAGAAGGATATTATTATTTTAAGTTATTAAATAATGATAAATAATAATTTATATATACACACACACACACACACTCATATATATGTATATTGTATATAAAATAAAGAGGGTTGTTTTTTTATTAGTAATTAATGAATTAAATTATTTAATCGTTTAAAATTGTAATGAATTCTATAAGTTTGTATATTATTATTATTCAATTAATAAATTATTTTAGAGGGTTTGTTGTTATTACTATTAATAATAAAAAAAAATGTAAAGGCAATGTTTGGATTTGTTGTCGTTTTCTAAGTCGTGTTGCATATATGAAAAAACTTTATGCCTTGTGTACTGCCTTGAGTACTTGATCTAATCCCAAAAAAACATTTTTGTCAAAGAAACAAATTCTTTCAACAATATCTAAAAGTTAAGAACTGCATTATAAAATAATATAAACTCTCTAAGTGTATAATTTTTTTGATTGATAGATTTGATAGCCTCATATATCAACCAATAGCAATCGCAAACAAATGGCTGCTGTATGTTTTAGCTGATAATAAACTACATTAGAGATACAGCAGTAGTTGAACTCGGGTGGGAGGCTGCATCTTTGTGCAGGTTCTCCTGGAGAGCGTGGGAGAGCTCCATTCTACACCAAAGTGTCTTTTGTCGAAAGGAAAAGGGCCAGGTTGATTTGGATCAAGACTAGGTTGGCACATTCTGGTCAGAGAGAAGAGAGATAATGTATTTTTGGCTTCAAGACTTCATTACAGGAACCACCTGCAATGAGAAGGATATTATTATTTTAAGTTATTAAATAATGATAAATAATAATTTATATATACACACACACACACACACTCATATATATGTATATTGTATATAAAATAAAGAGGGTTGTTTTTTTATTAGTAATTAATGAATTAAATTATTTAATCGTTTAAAATTGTAATGAATTCTATAAGTTTGTATATTATTATTATTCAATTAATAAATTATTTTAGAGGGTTTGTTGTTATTACTATTAATAATAAAAAAAAATGTAAAGGCAATGTTTGGATTTGTTGTTATTATCGTCATTATGAATCAAATTATTTATTATTTGTTTAAGATGGTATTGATTTATTGAGGGTGAGGTTTATATTATTTTTGTACAAACCCGATTCCAAAAAAGTTGGGACACTGTATAAATTGTGAATAAAAACAGAATGCAATGATGTGGAAGTTTCAAATTTCAATATTTTATTCAGAATACAACATAGATGACATATCAAATGTTTACACTGAGAATTTATTTTAAGGGAAAAATAAGTTGATTTTAAATTTCATGGCATTAACACATCTCAAAAAAGTTGGGACAAGGCCATGTTTACCACTGTGTGGCATCCCCTCTTCTTTTTATAACAGTCTGCAAACGTCTGGGGACTGAGGAGACAAGTTGCTCAAGTTTAGGAATAGGAATGTTGTCCCATTCTTGTCTAATACAGGCTTCTAGTTGCTCAACTGTCTTAGGTCTTCTTTGTCGCATCTTCCTCTTTATGATGTATAAATGAATTAGCATCTCATAATTTTGTCATAATTATAATTTACGAACTTGAACTTGAAAGTTTTGTGTTCTGAATCAAAGATTTGCATTAGTCTTGCACTATTCAAGGATATGCGTTTAAATGAGATTTAACTAATCACACTTTTACTCCTCCTGTTCCACTTATTTTTATTTATTTATTGATGAAATAACAGTTGCAGGTTGGACCCACTACTTTTAGTCAGGGTCAGAGAACATCCTGTACAGCTTTACAACCTTCCCTCATGTGCTAATGATGAGTAACACCTCACTGGAACTAGATTCTGAAAATCAGTCCACTGTGAGAGCTGTGAGAGTTAATCAGAGAGTTAATCATAATCGCCTGATGCGAGATAGCAGGGGTCACTGTTCCACTGATGTGTCTTTAAAAATGGCTGAACCGATGTTGTTCTGAAATCTTATTGGCAAACATCATTCTGTCATAGAGTACAGTTTTGCTCTCTCTCTCTATGCACCCTGGTTCAGATGTGCATGAAAAACAAACTCTCTGTTCTGTCCATTGTCAACATTGAGAGCACACCTGCACCTTAGACAAACAGAAACGGCTGTCTGCATGGATGCTTGCTACATAACCAAGAGCTGAGTCACTCTATCAACAAGCCATCAGACTGTAACAGATGGAAACTGAGTGAAGAGGAAGTTCTGGAAACCTGAACAAATGCTCATTAATTATGGACACTATAAACAAACTAAATTAAATAATAAAAAAGAAATAAATCTGAATTCAAATGAAATACATTATTTTTGCTTTATATACATCTAACATTACTCTAATATGGAGAAAAGATACGCTGCAAATTAATATAAAGCAAATATTTACCAAAAATGATTTTGATAAATTGTTTTGGATTTAGTAGTGACAATATAAAAGGTAATCACATTGGTTTGGAAATAAACATCTTCAATAAATCCTTGTTAACATTTTAGTCTATTTACACAATATAAGTTTACACTTTTTCAAAAGTTTGGGGTCAGTAAGAATAAAAAAAAAATTCTAAACAGGATGAATTAAAATTCATTAAATAGTAATCATAATAATATTAATAATAATAAATTAAATCCTTGTTAACATTTTATTCTATTTACACAATATAAGTTGTACACTTTTTCAAAAGTTTGGGGTCAGTAAGAATTAAAAAAAAAAATTCTAAACAGGATGAATTAAAATTCATTAAATAATAATAATAAGAATATTATTAATAA